GTTTGCTGTGATTGCTGCACTCAATTGCCACGTCTCTTGACACAAGAGTCAGATAAAAGACTGCTAAATATATGCAAATCCCTTCACCACTTCCCGTGGAGCCAGCTTAAACACACTCAAAGAAATATGAATCAAGCTGACTAGCATCATTTGCCTCATTTGCCTCATTATGCCATCATCGTCTCTAATTAAATCCGAGTTTTATGGCCGACGCCCTGACAACACTTCACTTCCAGATCTCGTTGCCCAGTTCAGCGTTTGTCGCCGCGATAAGCTATTTGCCCTGAGATGCCACTTTCTGTGAGCCGACGAAAATGCCACATTCTCATCGCCGATTCTTGCTATACGCTCTTGCGGTAAGATGAGAAATGGCAAAAATATAATTCAAGTCAAACGGGGCTTGAAAAACACGTCAATCCCCAGGCCGCATGACACTGGTCCCGTTGCGTTAGCGAAAGCAGGCCTCTGTGGACAATTATTTGTAGTTTTTATTTTGCCATCAAACTGACCGCACTACTGATATAGTAGTCAGTAATAAAGAGCTTTTGTGGCTAAAATGCACCAGTTTCTACTTTTAACCGACATTCGTGTCACTTCGTCTTAAGGATCCACTTCCAGGGAGGTTGTATGGGAGGATAGCCTTCTTCTTCCAGCGGGGAATTGGATTTGCTGTCGACGTCCAGACCCAAGACGGTGATCGCGTAGGCACACTCGAAATGCCATCCGATCGCGCACAACTTTTGCCCAAACAAAAGCCCACCGACGAGCATTACGGTTTTGTGTATCTACCACATCAGCAGGTCTCCATGCCTGTCGTCACATGCTTACTTTTAACCGGCCAACATGGACTCAAACCCCTTTTGGTACAAATGGTGTGTTGAAGACATTATTCGAAGGTTGACACAACCAGAATACGACGACAATTTTCTCTCGTTGACCTTTTAACCGCGATAATCTTCTTCAGGTCTGGTGAAAAGGTGCTAATCTTTCGTCGGTCCCATTACAATCATTGAGAGTGAAAAGCATGATTCTTTCAATCGCATTCAAGTTGACGAATCAAGAAAACTCACCGATTTATATATATATATATATATATATA